TCGGCCGGGGAAGGGGTCTCGCGCACGCGCGCCACGCCCATCGGCCCCGCCGAAATCCCCAGCCCCGAGAGGGCGGACACTCACGAGGGCGTGCCGGGCCGGCTGGCTGATCGCCCCCCAACGTCCACCTTCTCCCGGGCTCCCCAGAGGCCAGCACCACCACCACCTAGCCGCGGCCAGACCCCATATACACAGACACTCCCCACCGACCTTCGGCTCCGCCCCCGGCTTCCCTACGGGACCGTCACTTCCGGGCTCCCCCAACCTGTCTCCGACGATCACTTCCGTTTCCCCGTTCGTCTCTGGGGATCGCGAGGCGGTACTTCCGGCTCCCCCCACCAAGGTCCCCAGCCGTTACTTTTGTGAGGCAGGATGAGAAAGTCCGCAGCCCCAAACAGTGAATTGCTGGGGGCGAGACGGGCCGGGGCCGGCCTAGATGGGAGGGAGCCGACCACCCCGAGAAGCCGCCACCGCCGTCGCCCGGGGGACCGGACTGCGCTTGCGTCAATCATGACGCATGCGTAGATGCCCTTAAGCGCTGCCTACCCAGCCACCTCCGCGGGGGTCGCTTGGCTTATGCGCGCGCCTGAGCGACGGCTGGTGGAGGTGGTCACTATAAATGCCTGGGGGGGGAAAATTTGGCAGATACGATTGCGGCTGGCACAAGAGAGACTCCGGGCAGCTTGTGTATACCTTGGAGTTTAGAGACAGGGACTCTTGCCCCGTGAATCGTATTAAAATTTGGCAGGCGGAGAATCGAAGGCGGCACTTTGCTAGCCACCTAAAGCCCTCTCCGGGCTCTCGCCCTCCCGGCAGCTTCCTTCGGCGTTTCCGGAAGTCGGCCTGGCCGCGGGCGGCTGGCGACGGCTGGCGAGGCGTCGCTGGCCGGAGGGGCGTGGGGGCCTGTGGGCGCAGGGAGGCCTGTGGCCGCGAGGCTCCCGGCGGCCAGCCTGCTCCTCTGTGAGGCCTTGCGTCACCAAGTGTTCTTGGTAGCCGACTGGATTTTGACAGTGGAGAGTTAAACGGCCTCCAGGACTTGGTTTGGGGGTCACTGCTTCCCTGCCTGTGCTTTCTGAGGATTGTTACTGTATGCTTCAGGTCCCGATACTGTTTCAATTTAAAAAAAAAGCAAAAAGTAGCACCTGCTTAGTGTGCCTGCTAATAATACCAAGGATTTGACATTAAGAAACACCTGATATTTGAGATTAATGTTACTATCTTTTATAGATTAGTATTTCTTAAAAGATTTTATTTTTTTATTGGAAAGATATATATACAGAGAGGAGGAGAAACAGGAAGATCTTCCATCTGATGGTTCACTCCCCAAGCTGCCATAATGGCTGGAGCTGAACCGATCCAAAGCCAGGAGCCCAGAGCTGCTTCCGGGTCTCCCACACGATGCAGGGTCCCAAGGCTTTGGGCCGTCCTCGACTGCTTCCCAGGCCACAGGCAGGGAGCTGGATGGGAAGCGGGCTCCCGGGATTAGAACTGGCGCCAACATGAGATCCCAGCACCTTGAAGGCGAGGACTTTAGCTATCACACCCGGCTCTAGATGAGTATGTTTAAGCAAACCTGGGTGACAGAACCAACCAACACCGTTCTACCAGACTCCAGTTCGACTTCTCCAATAAATTGTGGCATTTTACCTTTGTGTGTGTGTGTGTGCTTTTTACCTTTTTACTGCAAGAAGTGTCAAGTATCACCAAAGTAGACTAGTCAATGGACTTGGATTTAAGTTTTGAATTTGGGGGGGGGGGGCGGTAAATCACAAATTCAGAGATCAGAGCAAGCTTCAATGTCCAGAATAAGCCTTCTGGTCTTCATCCATAGGTCGAACTGATTGGGAAGGGAACCTACATCTCATTGCATCTGTAGCTCCTCCCTATGATCTCGTGAAGGCTTCTTTTCATTTCTTTCCTTCCTGCCTATCCCTGTCAGAAATGACCTGCCAGAAGCTAATAAGTGCCTTACAGGTATTTAGCATTAGTAAGTATTTACTTGGGACTTAGCCATTTTCAGTTCTTTGCTAAGGACTTTGTGTACAACATCTCAGTCAAATGAGGCTGATAATTTGCCCATTTTATAGATGGAAAAACAAATATGAAGATGAATCAAATTATCCCAGATCTAATAGAAAAGGGTTAAGAGTTACATTTAGAATTTCAAGGCATGGCTGCCTTGTAGTTATAAAAACATCATGCTAATGGGCCTGATGCCGTGGTGTAAGGGCTAGAGTCCTCGCATTGAACATGCCATGATCCCATATGGGTGCCGGTTCTGATCCTGGCAGCTCCACTTACCATGCAGCTCCCTGCTTGTGGCCTGAAAAAGCAGTTGAGTATGGCCCAAAGTCTTGGAACCCTGTACCCATGTGGGAGACCTGGAAGAAAGTTCCTGGCTTCGGATCGGTTCAGCACCAGTCATTGCAGTCACTTCGGGAGTGAATCATCAGAAGATATTTCTGTCTCTCCCCTCTGTATATCTGACTTCGCAGTGAAAGTAAATATTTTTTTAAAAAATGCAAATAAACACTTGAGTGTCCTCAAGTTTTTCCAGAGTGTATACATACTGTTTCCCCAATTGGAAACTTCAAGAGAAAACTCTGACATGACCCCCCACCAATCATGGACCCCGTGACTGGTCCGTATCTGTTGACACTGATCAGGTTGTACTGCAATGATTTGTGTACTCAGCTAGTTTTCCCTTTACTAACTTCAAGGCCAGGGGCTGTATCTGATTCATTTTTATATCCCCATAGATTAGCTAGTTCCTGGCAAACATCTGGAACTCAAAAAACAGTTTGCTAAGTGAACGACTGAAAATCCCAACGTCTCCTCAGTGCTGCTCCACACAGCAAACATCCAGTTCAGATACGGGTTGAAAGACTATGGGCTCCTACCTGAGGATTCAGCTCTTCTCGTGACTCCAAGAGGCCCTGCACATCCCAGGTTGCATGGTGGAGTGAGTGTGGGCAGAAGAGGGGGAGGAAGGCCCAAACACTAGGTAAGCCAGGCTGGGGTTGGAAAACAAGGTTGAAGTTACTCATTAGCAGGTGAAAGGGTCAAGGGTCAAGGCAAGGGGGCTGGAAGCACAGTGGACAGAGCAGCCAGCAGTGGACCGGTCACACCAAGCAGCAACTCCCTCCTGCCTTGAAGATGTTCCACTGGCTTCGGGCAGCTGTACTCTACCTGTATGGCATTCTTCTTAATTCCATTCATCAGTGCCCAGACAACAGTTCACTGACAACTCTGGAAGTGCATGGGAAAGAGGTATGGACTGAGAAGGGGTCGGGGGAGGGCACCTTATGGTGGAGGTTCAGAGGGACTCGAATGGATGACCTAGCATGACCAGGAGCCAAATTGAGAAGAAAAGTATCAGTCCACTGGCCATCAGTGTGAAGACATGGCCAAACTGAGAGTGGTTAACCAGGTTGACTTGGGGAGGGTTAGAGAGGAAAAGTCATTTAGTGATTGTTTAGTCATTGATTCGACCCCCAGTCAGGAAGAAGGCAGCCAATACCCGACCCCTAATTCTTGCTCTCTCCTGATGATTTACTTCTTTTTTTTTTTTCCAACTATCTCCAGTCACTAGAGCCCTACCTGGGCCAGTGGCACTTTATTGCAGGGGCAGCTCCCACCAAGGTGGAGTTGACGACTTTTGACCCTGTGGACAACATTGTCTTCAACATGGCTGTTGGCTCAACCCCTATGCAGCTCCAGCTTCGCGCTACCATCCGCACGTGAGTGGAGACAGAGGCACTGCTGAGTGCACCCTGCCTCTGTCTGAGCACCCAGCAAGAGCTAGGCTTTTTGCGCTAGTAAGCCAGTGTTCTTGCCCCCCAGTGAATACAGGAGTTCTGTTAGTGTCCTCTGGAGAGAGATGGGTCTAACCACATCTCGGGGTGTACAACCCAAACAGAGCTAGGTTTGAAGAAGGCATCAGGTAGAATAAGTGGAGACTACTGCTGGGTGGTTGAAAGAGCAGCCTAAGGTCCTGTTTGCCACCATTTCTGCAGAAAAGATGGACTCTGTGTGCCACGGAAGTGGACTTACCATCTGACTGAAGGGAGCGCCAATCTGACGACAGAAGGTTGGTTCTCTCCAGCCCTTACCCTCCCCAAGCACCCTCTATTTGGTTTCACATCTCTGACCTCACATGTCCCTCCACCCACACTGACAGGCCGCCCTGACATGAAGACAGAGTTTTTCTCCAGTTCATGCCCAGGTGGAATCATGCTGAAAGAGACGGGGCAGGGATATCAGCGCTTTCTATTCTACAGTGAGTAGGGGACACGAGACAGGAAGGGCCAAGGGGCAACAAGGAGGGGTAAAAGGTCTCACTCTAGGCTCTGTGACATCCTCCAGGCAAGGGCCCGACACTCCAGGTGGCCCTTGCTAGGGGTGGGAGTGAACAGCAGGGACTTTGAGGGACCTGACCCAACTCTGCCCTTGCAGATCGCTCACCACAACCTTCAGAGAAGTGTGTGCAAGAATTCCAGTCTCTGACCTCCTGCCTGAACTCCAGAGCCTTCTTACTGACTCCCAGGAATCAAGGTGAGGGCTTAACGACTCACAGAGGGTTAGAAATCACTGAGCCTTGTAGAGGTGCTGGGCCAAAGAGGCAGGCTTTTGATAGCACCAGAGGGCAACAGCCACAGGCTGCCTCCTACAGAGTGACCACTGCTGGCTCCATTCATCATAGGCTGTGACTGTTTCAGAGGGTTGTGGCTCCCGGAATGGGTTCTGGGCGACTCCAAAGAAAGGTTTCTATGTTTGTATTGGATAAAGAGGGAGGGGAAAAAGTTTCAGGGACCATTTCTTTCTAGGAATGGAAAAATGTATTTTCCCCACATTACCCCCAACCTCATTTCTCTGTCCATCCTCTTATTTTCTCCCTCTTCCCATCACAGAGGCCTGTGAGCTGTCTGTCCAGTAACCGACCTGTGCCCCCTGAGCACTTCTGTGGGAGCCAAGGTCCTGTCGGGGAAGAGAAGCTGGAGACTCCCAGCTGCCTTTCAAGAATAATAAAGTTTCCGTCCTCACCTCTTCGCTGTGTTCGTCTCCACTCTTCAGTCCCACACCTTATATTTCAGTATTCCTGCCAGCCCCTCTGCCACCTAACCCCGCAGTTGGACGGCGTCAGAAAGGACACTTGATTGGGGGTAACTTATTTTGTAGTGGTGTATTTAGGATTTAGTGTGACACAGTCATTTATTGCTAAGTGGTGATGACAAACACCAGCACTTTCCCCAGTGTCTCTGTGAGCTCTCCCTCTGGTCAATACCGCTTCCACTATCTCTATTCCCTGTGGCTCCGTGAATACCAGATTCTGTCACCTAGGGGCCTTGTCCCCTCCAGCCCTCGGGCTCAGCAGCCCCACTATTCCCTAGCTGGCTCAGATCCTAAGACCCAAGCCAGCCTCTTTATGTAGAATTCTGTTCTGCCTCTGGCCTCCTCCACTAGGGAGTTAAAAAGTAGAAAGGACCATTGGTCTTTATTCTTCACCCATGACACTTTTTTTTTTGGCTTTTAAAAAGTGGAGGTGAAAAACAACCACAAAAACAAAAAAAAAAACCAACAAAGTGGGAGAAATGTAAAAGCAAAAAAGTAACGACAGCTGGTGAATCCAAGGGTGATGGCCCCGCTACCCATAAACACAGACTCCAAATAGCTCTGTTCTCTCCTGTGCATGTGACGAGGGGCCCTGAGCCCACATGCTCTATGGTCTCCTCCCCATTCCTGAGGTCCCTGTCCTTGCAATCCCCCGCCCACATACACACACATACCTACTAAATGGCACTCTGTGTTTATCCTTTGCCCCGGCCCACAGTCACAGCCTCTTGCCTGTGTCTCCCCTTTGCTCTTCATCCTTCCTCTCTGACCCCTCACCCTCCAAGTCAGTGGCCTCCTCATCTCCACTGGGCTCCCGGAGGCTGACAGCCAGCACCAGGGCCTGTAAGAGGCCAAAGAGACAGGCAAAGTGCAGGGGATGGGCGGTGAGGAGGCTCAGCACAGCATGGAGCCCATGCAGGGCAGCCAGGAATGACAACAGCCCATGGAGCCAGAGGCCCAGTGGTCCACGTAGGCCCAGCGCATCCAGGGCTGCCCGTAGTGGCCGGGAGCACACTGCCAGCAGGGCTGAGGCTAGCAGCTCCAATAGGTGCAGGGTCAGGTTGGTGGAGATCTGCAGACACTCTTCTGGGCCTCCCAGGTACCGTGGGGAACTCCCTGGCTCCCCCTGCAGCCAACCCAGCAGCTTCTGGTGCCGACTGGGCCTCTCCACTGCAGCTTCAGGCCCAGCAACATTCAGTCCCTCTTCAGCGGACACCCCAGGTCTCCTGTTGCTTCCCGCATCCACAGGCTCTATTCCCAAAGTCCCTCCAACTTCTCGCCGCTCTGACTCTTGTGTGCTGGAGACAGCCGTGTTCCACTTGAGGGACTCCATTCCTTTGCTCCCCAGGTGCTCCGCGTGGAGCTCCTTGCTTGGTTCTGGTGTTGCTTCAGAGCTCCGCAGCATCCCTGGGGCTTTGGCCTTGGGAGGCCCCCCATCTCCCAAGGTTTCTGGAGCACTGTCCCAATCGCTGCCCGAGTTCTCAGAAGAGCTGTCCACCCACCTGGGTTCTGGCACCTCCGAGTCAGGCTTTGTTGGTTTCCGACGGCCCCAGGGGCGAGGCAGCCAACCGCCAAGCCGACGCAGAAACATGGCTGCTGTGTTAGGAGCCTCCAAATCCTGGGGGCAAGTCTTGCCACTACTTAGAATCTCAGGGTCCTCTGGGCAACCAGTCTGTTCAAGCTCAGAACAAGTATTTGCTGGGAAATTGCGTCCTCCTGTGAAGTCAGAAGTGGCTTCTCACTACCCTGAATGGCCATGCAGTCTCAAAGGTGGCCAGCAGCTGATTTCCTTTTTTATGGTTCTTCAGCAAAGAGAAATGTCCCCAATTATTGGCTCCCACACCCCACACAAGATTCCAGGAGTCTAGGGCTATGACAAGGCCTGGGTCACCCCTGCAGTGTCAGTTTCACTCAGGCCACTCCCCAAGGTGCCCCAGAATCTGGGGAGGCAGTGCTCCATCCAAGAAGGAACAGCAGTGGGTGGCCCCGAGGTCCTAGGTCCCCCTGGATCTGAAGAACTCAAACTGCTGCCCTAAGGGAGCTCGAGGAGTAGCAAGTCTCTTCGTTGGGAGGTGGGAAGGAGGTATACAGAAGACTTCCTCCAACGGCGTCAGTCCCTGTCCTTTGATGTAGGGGGCTATGAATCCTACGAAGTAGCTCGACTGTCCCGCGAGCACGCAGTAGAGACGCGGCCTCTGCAAGGTCAGGACAAAATCCTCGGAGAACCCAGCCGCGAGGCAAAGCGCGGGCCTACCTGGGAACCCAGGCGTCCAGACACTGTGTGGGGGCCGCCCTGGGCCCAGCGCCGCAGCCGCGGCCTCGCGGAGCCACCGGAGCCGCGGAGCCCGGAAGCAGCTGCTCCGGGACCGGAGGGACAGGCGGGGGCGGAGCCGGCAGTTTTCGGGGCGGACCCTGTGGATCGACCTCCCCCGTGCCCCTGCGCTGTCACTGCGCACCACAGCGCAGCGCGCAGAGCCCACAGACCTACAGCCCTAGGGACAGGGCAAGCGCATAAGACCCTGGGGCTCCAGGGCCCTGCTAAACTCGCTGCCCCACCGCTGTCCCCTAGAGTTCTCCACATGCTCCAATACTTCTTCATTTCCCGTGCCAGAAAGGTAAAAGGGAATTCTCCAACCTGACTGATCTTTCCCTATCCCTCTGTGCTGGCATTCAACAACAGAGAGTGGTTCGAGTGCTTTAGCACCTGAGATAATGGATCCAAAGGGGCCAAAGGGAGGGAGGATGTGGAAGTGGGGAAAAGAGAAGTGTAAACATATTCTTCCTGTTTTTAGGAATTTCCAGATAGCAGAGAACCCGAACTTAGGAGACTTAGGATGCCAATCCTAATGCCAGCTCAACATATAAGCTGGATAACCTTCGGTTGCCCCTACCACAGTGACTTTTTTCCAGTAAAACCGGACCTTCCCCGACTTCCTTCTTTCACAATAAAGTATTATAAACACCTCTGACTTAAAATTTTTATTTGTCTGAACATACAGTTGGTTGGGTCTGTTCACACATCTTCACCAGCAGCAAGGGTCAAGCACTTGAACTCTGCTTGAAACCATTTTGATAAAATACTTGCTAAAGAGTTTCTCTTGAAAGGCTGCCCTGACCAGGGAAGTTCCAATCTTGTTTCTCAAGATACCACAGCTGGGTTTCTAAGTGTAGTTATGACCTTCCTTGCAGTTTGTCCCAAGTACTTTGTCAAGCCTGGGCTATTTAGAAGGTGTCCAGGACTCTGCCATTGAACTTTAGCAAAATGCCTGGCCTTGCCCTCAGATTTGCTTATAAGCTTACTGTCCTCAACTGCTTTCCAAGGCCACAAGCAGGGAGCTTGATGGGAAATGGGGCTGCTGGAATAAGAGCCAGGATTCATATGGCATCCCAGTGAGTGCAAGGCCACTAGGCTACTGCTCTAGGCCTGCTTTTTTTTTTTTTTTTTTTTAAGATGTTGTTGGTAAGGTAGATTTAGAGACAGCTCTTCCATCCACTGGTTCATTCCCCAAATGGCCACAACGACTGGAGCTGAGCCAATTTAAAGCCAGGAACCAGGAGCTTCCTCTGGGTCTCTCACATGGGTACAGTGTCCCAGTTTATCCTCTACTGCTTTTCCAGGCCACAAGCAGGGGGCAAGATGGAAAGTGGAGTATCCAGGACACAGCCTGGTGCACATACAGGATTCTGGTGCTAGCAAGGTAAGGACAGCCATTGAGCCATCACACTGAGCCCTATGAGTCTTTTTTTAGTGAATGTTCTGTCATTTGTTTTCAAAAAAAAAAAAATTATGGGTTACAAAAAGAGTAGGTACAGAGGCCAATGAACTTGGGCCATTTCCTGCTGTTTTCCCAGGCACATTAGCAGGGAGCTGGATTTGAAGTGACCCAGCCAGGATTCAAACTGGTATATATATGGAATGGTGGCATAACAACAGCTTCGCTTACAACGCCACAATGCCGCCTCTGGCATCTTTCCTATTCATATTGTTGGACAACATTGTGTGATGTTCACAGAGCAGCAGTAACTACCATGATTTGTGGTATTGGGTCACAGAATAGTTCCCCCAAAAAACTGTTAAATTCCTTGTTGGTTGGGGATGTCTTTTACTTGTATTCTTTCGTTGTGATTTATCTGGAAAGCAGAGAAAGATCTTCCATTTGCTGAATTTCTCCTCAAGCGGCTGCAACAGCCCCCTGTGGGCTAGACTCATGCCAGGAGACAGGAACACCATCCTGGTTTCCCACATAGAAAGTAGGGCCCAGATACTGCATCCACTGCCTTCCCAGGCACATCAGCAGAAACTGGGCTGGAAGCAGAACAGCCAAGACTTGAACTAGCAATCCAGTCAAAAACAGGTTAACTTGTTGCAACATAATATTAGCCCATGCTTGTATGACATAATATATGACCTTCTTGTTTGTGAAATCAGTGAATGAAGAGGCTGAAGTGGTCAGAGGATCTATCCTGAGGGAGGTGATCCTTACCATGGAGCTGGGAAGTTCCTGAATCAGGGTTTGAATGAAGAAGTGAGGTAGCATCAGAAGTTATCAGAACATGGAAGTGAACCCAGACGGGAAGTGAAGTCAAGTGTTACTTGAGAAGGCTCTGGATTAGCTGAAATTTGCAGGTGGTGACATTAACTTTTTTTTTACTTCCCCACAACTTTCAGAAAAGTGAATAAACCACAACAGAGGGAGACAAATTTATTTTTCTCAGCTCAGTATTCAAAACCTGAGGTTTTACACCTAGGCAGATCCCAGAATGTGTAAGTCAAACTGCCCCAAGTTGGAGGCCTGGCTCAGATTTCTGCAGCAGACCAGGGCTTGGCCTGCTCAAGGTCAGAACTCAAGGTTCATGTATGTTCTCAGGTCCCTTTCCCAGGCTCTATCCTTCTCCTCCTGCCTTCTAGCCTCCCTTCGGTTCAGTGTAGCCACCCGAGGGCCCCTCACCCTTCCAGCCACAGCCCGGGTATCTCCAGCTAGGAAGTGTGTGACTCGGGGCTGGGGTGCTGATCCGTAGCCAAGTCCTTCCTGGTCCCTCTTGAGGATAGTGGGGATAGGGTTGGCTCGGCCCTCACCTCGGGGTCCCAGCCCCATTCCTGGCTCCCAGCCCCCTCTCAACAGCAGCTGGAAACCTGGGCTGGAGGTGGGCACCCCAAGGCGAAGGTTGGGGGGCTGACAACCCCTAGACAATGATAGCAGGTGAGCAGTGGATGTACGGTGGTTGGAGTCTTGGAAATGAGCATCACAGGTCTCACAGTACTGGGGAGAGGGAGTATGGGACCTGCAAAGAAAAAAAAAAAAAGGTTAAAAGGGAAGGGAAAAGAGAAGAGGGGAGGAATTGAGGCCTTAGTTGGGTCAGATGGAATCATTTCAGTTTAAGGAACAAATTGCCTTCTTCCCCATGCAGCAATGTGGAACTCAGAGAGGAATCATTGGGAGGAGAGATGGTATCCTGGCTCACAAAGCCCTGAGCCAGGGCGGAATAACTCTGATTGATATTTATACCTTGTAAACTGTGTGGGACACACTGTTCCAGTGCGTCACATGTGTTAACCTGTCAATCCTAACCATAACTCTGGGAAAAAGGGTGCTGTTATATAGCCCCTTTCTCAGAAACTAAGAAGCAACATGTGAACATCAGATTACATGCAAGTAAGCAGAATCAGGACTGAAACCCAGGGAATTCATGTTTATAAGCACTCTACTACACTACAGTATCAGCTTAAATTGGATAGAACCTCCCCTTCGGTTCTTTTCTGGAGCCTCTGCTGGGGAGGCTTGAGATGGACAGTGCACAGAAACGAGTTTTATATGGGCCTCTTACCGATTCTCGGGGGTCCTTGTCTCTCCAGGGCTCTCTCTGACTATGCGGGCCACCTCGGAGAAGCCAGCCTCTTCAGCCAGCTGAGCAGCGTCCTTGCCACTGAGCTCACAGACACCCACCCAGGCAGCCCCACGGCCCAGGAGGTATCGCACAGCTGCCTCTTGACCCGCACGGGCAGCACACATCAAAGGAGTCCACCAAAAGGCATCCCGGGCGTTGATATTCCCCCCAGCCCCCCCCGCCTCATGGGGTTCCAACAGCTTTCGCAGTTCTGCCAAGTTTCCCTCCTGGGCGGCCCTCAGGATCTTCTGGGTCATCTTGTCCTCAGCCTCAGGAGATCTCCACTGTTCGTGTCTTCCTGACACTCCTGTTGATGCTGTTTGTGCCACAGTCTCTCTCATCGTTCTTCTCTTCTTCCGCTTTCTTGCCAGTGCAGGTTCAGGGTGAGGTGTCTGCGGTTCCAGGGCACTGCTGTCATCCCTAATGAGGGCCTCGTAGAAAGCTCGGGCGGCAGTCCCATCCAGGATGGCCTTCGGTTCCTCAGGCTGGGACTGCTGTTGCCCATCCTTCCAGAGGTCACTGGGGTCTGTGGCTGGGGTGAAGGTGATCAGGGAGGGCTTGGACATAGCTCTTGGCAAGGACTGAGAAGACTAGGCCAGGGAAGGATACGACAAGTCAACTTCCTAGTGGCTACTACGGTGCCACACCATCTCCAGGGACCTGCTGGAAAAGGAAAAGTAGCTTTAAAGCCAAAAAACAGACAAAAACAAAACAAAACAGAAATACCACCCTCTCACCCCAAACTGACCCTACAACTTCACAGCCCAAGGACTACGGGTCTCAAAACCTTGCAATAACAGACATTCCCTTTTGTTAAAAGCTAACAGGAAAACTTAAAGAGACAGTTGTCCAACAAATAACATCAGTCAGTTTCCTTCCCAGTAAGACACATCAGTAAGAAATGTCAGCCTGGCCCTTTAAATGTCCCTTGATCCTATTTTGGGATTTCCTTGTCCCAAACAGAAACAGTCGTGACGATTCTCGGGAATATTTCCAAAAGATGCAGTCTGCGCTGCTTCCGTACAGCAAAATGGCGCTATCCTAATCAAAAGTTGCTACCATCAGATAGCCACACACAGCACGAGCACGCATGCGTAGCAGCACCACCACGGCAGCCCAGCCTTACCTGAGCGCACTGGTGCACCCCAAGGCGCTGGGTCCGGATGCTTACCCCGGACTCTTCCCCACGCGAGCCCCGGTGCTGCAGCCCAGGGACGATCCGTCGGCTGGGGGGAGGGTCTGCTTTTACATCACGCCCCTCAAGGCCCTTTGCCTCCCGCAATGCGGCCCCCATTCCAAGATCATCTTCAGAAGCTGGGGAACCTCTCTCCGAGTTGATAAAGTCCCTGAGGAGCCGGAGGGAACCCTGTGGAGTGCTGTGACACTAAATAACGCCACGGTGCCCCTCATCACCCTGTGATCAGGCTAGAAGGGCTCACCTAGGGTCCTCAGCTTCAGACCCACCCAAGCGCCCTATGAGCACATGGAGAAGTGCCAGGGGATGCACAGCGCAGTGGCTGGCGCCGCCTCAGGCAGCGGCCCTGGGGCCGTCCTAGTCAGCGCCACCGTCCTCAGCGTAGACACACCAGGTCCCTCAGCACGGAGCCCACCCCAGGAAGCCCGAGCCCGGGCCGAACCAGGACCCCGTCAGCGGTCAGTCGGGGCACCGGAGCACAGCGTACACGGGCTCCGCCGGTCTCGCTCCTCTCCCTCCCCCTACGGGCCCCTCAATCCGGAGGAGGATCCGACTCTGTTTCTCAGGCTCCCGTCCCCGAACGCCTTACTTGGCTTCCGCTTCCGGTGGCGCCTCGCTGCGCTCCGCCCCCCAAGCCGCTGCCTCAGGGGCCTCGCGACACCCAGGGTCGTGAGTGATTGGTCTTGGGATTCGTAGTTCGCTTCTCCTTCGTTTCGCCAGCTTACCTCCTTAGTAGACTCCATTTCCCAGCAGCCGCCGCGGCGCCCTGCCCGGAGCGCTTGCGCGTTGCCCTCTTCCCCCCCACCCTCCCCAGTTTCCACTCACCCCCCCACCCCACTTCGCCTGCCGCGGTCGGTCCGCGGCCTTCGGTGTAGCGGTCGCCGCCGTTCCTCGGAAGCAGCGGTTCCCCTCCCCCACCCCGCTCCCGCTCCCCGTCCAGCTGGTGAGTCAGAGGTCGTCGCGGTGCGGAGCTCCGGGTCTCCGGAGCGGCACATGGGGTCTCCGGCATCTTGAGGTGGGGGGCGAGGGAGGAAGAGACCCGGTCCGGCGCCACTGGAAGGGAGGGATGGCCTAAGAGATGAGCGGCAGGTTGTTGGGGCGCGGGGGGAGACTCGGTGAAAGCAACCCGCTGGTGCCCATGCCCCGCCCCGAGCTGTGAGCAGAGGAGTGTTGAGCCCTTGCTGGGGGAGAGAGAAACTTCGGGATCCTGAGAAGTGCCGGGACCTGCAGAGCGCTGCGGTGGTGGGCAGCCCAAACCGAGGGCTCTGCCCGAGCTGACACGGGGGAGAGGGTCCTGGCTTGCAGGAGCGGGGGTGGTGTGTGTAAGGACTGGCAGGGCAGTCCCTGCTGGCTCCTTCCAAGTGCCGGGACCCCAAGGAATTCCTCAAGTTAGAGAGAAGGGGCTGAGGTGTAAGAGGAGCCATAGAAGCATGCATGCACCGGAAGCCGGGTTCCTTTAAAAAAATATAGGGGTGGCCCAAATTCTTCCAGAGCTGAAAGACAGTGTGGGAGGAGGGAGGATGCCCAAGCCAGGGAGGGGAGAGCTTGGGCTTGACAGAAACTCCCTTTTCCAGCTGACTTGAAGATGAGCAGCTCGGAAGAAGTGTCCTGGATTTCCTGGTTCTGTGGGCTCCGTGGCAATGAATTCTTCTGTGAGGTGAGTTCTGATCACTTTTCCCATTTGCCAACTCCAGGCATTATTGTTGCTGTGTTGTTAAGATTATTTTATCAGGAAGGCAGATTTACAGAGAGCAGGAGAGATGGAAAGATCTTCTGTTCTGGTTCACTCGCCAAAGGGCCTTAATGGCCGATCTGAGCCAGGAGCCAAGAACTTCTGGGTCTCCCACGTGGGTGCAGGGTCCCAGAGCTTTGGGCCATGCTCTACTGCTTTCCAGGGTCACAAGCAGGGAGCTGGGCATCTGGTGTGGTGGCCTAGCGGCTAAAGTCCTCACTTTGAACACGCCAGGATCCCAAATAGGTGCCAGTTATGATCCCGGCAGCTCCACTTCTCATCCGGCTCTCTGGGAAGGCAGTCAAGGATGGCCCAAAACCTTGGGATCCTGCACCAGCATGGGAGACCTGGAAGAGCTCCTGGCTCTTGGCTTCGGATTGGCACAGCACCAGCCTTTGCTGTCACTTGGGGAGTGAATCATTGGATGGAAGATCTTCCTCTCTGTCTCTCTATGTCTGACTTTGCAATAAAAATTTTAAAAAATCTTAAAAAAAAAAAAACAAGCAGGGAGCTGGAAGAGAAGTGGAGCAGTCGGGACATGAACTGGTGCTCTTGTGGGATCTGGGTGCATGCAGGTGGAGGATTAGCCTGTTGAGCAATGGTGCTATCCCCATGGACAGCCATTGTACAGATTTGCCTTCTATGTGTTTGGCTATGTGCAAACTCTTTGCTGTACAGGAGGGGTCCCCTCAGGAATTGGCCCCCTCCACTGCCCTGTGGTGATGTGGCAAGATTAAGATCCAAGTTCCGATTCTGTCACCCTCCAGCAAGATAACTTTGGACTAGTTATACTGTGGAGGTTTTGTTTAACTTTTAGTTTTCTTATGTCCTAAATGCCTTCAACAGTGAAGTCTGGGCCAGGTGGAAGTCAGAAATCCCAGAAGTCAGTGTAAGCTTCCCAAGTGGGTGGCAGGGACCCGAGTACTTGGGCCTGATGTCCACCAGGGTGTGTGCTGGCAGGAATGCTGGAGCTGAAAATGAACTGGAACTTGAATCCAGGCATTCCGGTTTGGGCTGTGGGTGTCCCAGATGGTGCTCTAATTTCTTTGCCAAATGTCCTTCCTCTTTTCCTTTTGCATGAGTGGAATCATGCTGGTAGTCCCTATGTCTGGTGACTGTTAGGACGTTTGGTAATGTGCAAACGTAGGTAATTCTCACCATCCTCAGAACCCAGAATGCTCAGTTCCTGCCCTCCTCAGAGCAGCTTTCCCCAAGGAGAAGACAGGACTGCTTCCTAGGCATGAGAAACAGGCCTGGAGGCAGGGAAACCTCAGCTGTCTGTAAGAGGAGGTGGCTGTGCTTGCTTATCCTTAGAGGAGGGAAGCTGAAGTCTTCGCAGGAGGGCATGGGTACCTAAAGTGCTTAGGCTGGGCAGGGAGTGGGAGACGGAAGCCAGATGCAGTTGTATTCAGGACAAGCATTAGATCACCTTGCCTACTAACTCTTAACTCTGGGGATTCCAATAGAAGTTCCCTCTTGGGGCCAGGTGGGGTTGTGCTTCAGGCTAATCCTCTACTTACAGCGACAGCATCCCATATGAGCTCTGATTCAAGTTCCAACTGCTTTATTTCCCATCCAGCCGCCTCATAATGGGCTTGGGAGAGCAGCACAGGTTGGCTCGAGTCCTTGGGCTCCTGTACCCACATGGGTCCTCTCTTTGGATTATCTCACCTTCAGCCAATGCAGCCATTTTGAGAAGCAAACCAACAGATGGAAGGTCTCTTTCTCTGTAAAATCTACCTTTAAAAATAAATTTATCTTGTTTGCAAAGAAAGGATCTTTACTTAATTTGAACTGTAATACTGCAACAAGGTGGGGGAATCCCAGAGCCTTTGAAACTGTGTCACATAATGCAACCTAATTAATAAAAAAATAAATAAACAATAAATAAATAAATAAATAAATATATCTTGGGCCCAGCACGATAGCGTAGTGGTTAAGGTCTTTCCCTTGCACACCTGGGATCCTACATGGGCGCCGGTTCTAATCCGGGCAGCCCTGCTTCCCATCCAGCTCCCTGCTTGTGGCCTGGGAAGGCAGTCAAGGATGGCCCAAAGCCTTGGGACCCTGTGCCCATGTGGGATACCTGGAAGAGCTCCTGGCTCCTGGCTTTGGAATGGCTCAGCTCCAGCCGTTGCAGTCACTTGGGGAGTGAACCATCAGATGGAGGATCTTCCTCTCTGTCTCTCCTCCTCTCTGTGTATCTGACTTTCCAATAAAAATAAATAAATCTTAAATATATGTGTGTATATATATATATATTTTTAAATGAAGTTCTGTCTTGGTCTCTGTGTTCTAACAGGTGGATGAAGACTACATCCAGGACAAATTTAACCTTACTGGGCTCAATGAGCAGGTGCCTCACTATCGACAAGCTTTAGACATGATCTTGGACTTGGAACCTGGTAAGACACGCTCAAGGTTGTTTCACATGTGTGTGCATTTTTTTTTTTTTCTTCAAATTCCTATTTACCTCTTGAATCCCTACATTTCCTTTTGGTTCCCTGACACTGCTAATTCCAAGGTCCCTGCTTGGGTTTGATCCCCAACTTGAACTCATGCCTAGTTTTATAACATATCACTTGTTCCCTTACTTTCTGAGGTTTTTGTTTGTTTGCTTGTTTTGTTTGTTTGTTTTACTTTCTGAGTTTGTAACTGAGTTCTCTTCTGTGAATGCCAGTTTTCTCATAGATCTTGTTTACTGTCTCTTTCCCTGCCTTGCACCTTCCAGTCTAGAGTTCCACCTTCTGCATTGATATCTTTGTATTTATGTACTAAGGAGTTGGGAGGGAGAGGCGAGAGCAGAGGCTTGAAGAGGTGTGGGAAGAAGGCTGGACTGCCTGGGTTGTTGGAAGGGTCAGAGACCCCAGGGTAAAGGCCAATGTGAGAGTTGGGTGAGGCTCAAGGCGAGGTGCTGGGCAAACTGGGCAGCCAGCAGCCCCCGGGGATGGGCGGGGTGCCAAGGAAAGCTGGCAAACAAGTGGTTGCATTTGGCTGGCCCACATTTCAGATGAAGAGCTGGAAGACAACCCCAACCAGAGCGACCTGATTGAGCAGGCGGCTGAGATGCTTTATGGACTGATCCATGCTCGCTACATCCTCACCAACCGAGGCATCGCCCAGATGGTGAGGCCTTTCTGCTCCCACGGAATTCCCTCTGAGGCAGTAAGGGCAACAGGTTCCTACAGGGAGAAGTGACACATCAGCCCTGTCGAGGTGTCTAGCTGAGATGAGAGAATCCCAGCATTTGGACTGGGAAATTGTGAACACTTTGGAGGGGGTGTTCTCAAGGAAAGAGATAGGAGCTTGAGCATAGTTGTAGACTGCCTCTTCCTCAGAGAACAAATAGCCAATGGCTCTCAAAGTCTGTGGCCTCCCCGACTGGGGGAAGGCAGCCGAGGGGTCTGTGAGCCCATTTGATCTCGAGAAGAGGCAGGAGATGGGGAAAGAGTGACGTGGGTTAGACTGATGAAGGAGTGCTGCTTCTCTTCACACCTACCTGCCAATCCCTTCCATTTTATTCACCTCAGTTGGAAAAATACCAGCAGGGAGACTTTGGCTACTGTCCCCGTGTGTACTGTGAGAACCAGCCAATGCTTCCTATCGGTGAGTGTTAAAGCAGGGAGAAGAGGGCACCATCGGGCAATTCCCTGGGAAGTACCTCGGGCGCAGCAAGTTGTGAAGTAAGTGCTGGGGCAAGGAGTGGGACAGAGTTGGGCTGCGCGGCTTGCTGAGTCTGCAATGTCTCCCAGGTCTGTCAGACATCCCAGGTGAAGCCATGGTGAAGCTCTACTGCCCTAAGTGCATGGATGTGTACACACCCAAGTCGTCACGGCACCATCACACAGATGGCGCCTACTTCGGCACCGGTTTCCCTCACATGCTGTTCATGGTGCATCCCGAGTACCGGCCCAAGCGACCTGCCAACCAGTTTGTGCCCAGGTGGGGAGCAGACATAGGGTTACTGTGTGTCAAAGGAAAGACTCAGGATCCCCCAGAGAGAAGGATGGGCGGAGGGTGACCCGCTCCTGCAGCCAACTACTCTCAAAGCCAGGGCTGCTTCCTGCTGGTGTCTGAGAGAAAGTTGACCAGTCTCTTAGTTCCCTTGATCATTAAGCTGGAGTGGCAGCAGTACCTGCCTGATAGTGCTTTTCAAATGTATGAGTTTAGACTACTATATAGCACTCAAAGTACCATTTTTAAACAGTAGCTGTTACTGTCTGCCTTGAAACTGGTATTAACATATAACTTTTGGAATTTAAATTTTAAAGATTGTTTAAGATTGTTTTCAAGTACTTATGAGTGAAGAAGTTTAGGAACCATTGAGGGAGGTGGGTATGCAGGCCACTGGCAGGGCCAGGATGGACCTCACCCTCTCTGACCTGTGTCCCACCCAGGCTCTACGGTTTCAAGATCCATCCGATGGCCTATCAGCTGCAGCTCCAAGCCGCCAGCAACTTCAAGAGCCCAGTCAAGACGATCCGTTGATTCCCCAACCCAGCTGCCCTTCAGTCTTTGACACCTCTATTCCTTTGCTGCCACCCTTTCAGAAACCCTCTATGGTTTTTAGTTTAAATTAAAGGAGTCATTATTGTGGTGGGAATATGAAATAAAGTGGAAGAAAAGGCCATGAGACAGTCTGCTGGTGCTTGTGGTTGTGGAAGGGACAGTGGTGATGTGCTGAACCCCCGGAGCCCTCATAGCCCTGCGCACCCTCCTCAGGTTGAAATCTAACACAGATTTGTGCCAGTTGGGTTTATGGGATGTTTTTATTGTAGAACAGACCAAAATTCTTAGTATTAGGTGTGGGAAGTATAAATTGAAAAAGACCCATAAAAATGGAATTTCCAAGATTAGAGCTTTGGGGAGTCATAGTTGCCTTTAAACTGTGAAGGGTTTCCATCAGTAGCACTTTTTGAGTTTTGGTTTTAAAGTTTTTAAATGAACAGACCTGTATGGGGTGCAGAGGGGGGAGGCTGGTGTGGAATTGCTGCCAATGGTGTCTGTGTGCCCTCTGCTGGGGGAGCTGAAACATGCTCTTAGAAAGGACATCCTGGGTTCCCCAAACTGTTGGTGACTTGGCCTTGTAGTGAGGAGAGGACAGCAGGTGGCGCCAGAGAGACACTAATCAGTTGACCCCTGAGGATTAGGGGAATTTGTTCTCTGAGGACAAAGTACACAAGTGGTTGAAGGCCCAAGTGGTATCCCGGTTTTTCTTGTGTAGGTTGTGGTTCCCACACTCCAGGAACCAGACCTGTGGGCAGCACATGCTGTCTTCCTAGCCAAGTCGGGAACTTCCTGCCTCAGGATTATAACTGGAGCTCCGGCTCAGACCTCCTATCCCAAGCCTACTGCAGCTCTGGATCAAGGCGCGTGGTCATAGGAAGCTGGAGCTTCGGGGCATCCCTGTCCCCAGAATTACATGATGGAGGTCCATGCCCTTGTGGGTGTGCTGATCATAGTGGACCTTGTAGCAGGGAAGGGTAAGGGGACCCTGACGGGGAGAAAGGGCTGCCTGTGTTCAGGGAGGGGTGAAGGTGGGACTCCAGCTGTTCCAATGCCTTGCCCGGCAGGGCACTGGGGAATGAGCCAGTGCTCGTGTCACTCCCTTCTGTTTCCCAGCTCCTGTTCCTCAAGTCCGGGCCTGCCATTTCTGCCTCTTGGAAGATCCTGCTGTGGGATGCATTTCAGGCTCAGAGAAGTGTACCATCAGCACCTCATCCCTGTGCATGGTGATCACCATCCACTATGGTGAGTACAGTTCCAAGCAGGGGCTCTTGCTGAGACAGTCTCCGGCTTGGTTTCCTGTAGCAAATGAGGGCTTACCAGGCTCTGAAGTGTAAGGAAGATCTTGGAGGAGAGGGTTGGGGTTTTGGGAACCAGCTAAACTCATTTTCCCAACTTCTGAAGAAATCCCATGACAGAAATCAAGTATGACTCGAGAACGGAGGCAGTGGCAGGGCGCCAGATTTAAGGACTGTGGGAGCAGTGGCAGGGGTTACTAGCTGTCCCGTGTTCTCCAGATAACAAGGCTCGCTTCAACGTCCGAGGCTGTGGACAGCACAATTCCTACCGCTGCAAAGAGAAACGCAGCACCTACTTGTCGAACTACTGGTACGAGGTCCAGTGCTGTCCGTATGATTATTGCAATTCCTGGGCCAGCCCGCAGCTTGAGAGCTCCACGACTGAGCCCCACGACAGGGCCAGGCCCCTGTCGGACTTCCAGATCCAGCAGTTGTACCAGGCCTTGAACCTTTCATTGCCTCAGCCTAGCCTTCCTGCTGGGAAGGAGCCTGACGACCTGGACCTCCTGCCCCCAAAATTGGGCATGTCCATTGCTGACCTGCGCGACATCTACTTGTTCCTCAACAGCTCAGGACTTTTGGTTCTTCCCCGTGCTGGACCCTGACACGTTCCCCTTCTCTAAAGCCTTTTGGTCCAGCGTGTCTCCCTCACACCCCCAGCATACTGCGCTGCCCTCTCTGAGAAAACCTTCATTCTCTGGTCACTAATCTCTTGGGGCAACCTCCTTCATATTTCCAGCACCAATATGGCTTTGGTTTAATTTCCTCCTGAGCCCTGATGGTGCTCTTTTAAAAACCAAAACCAAAACCAAATTAATACTCAATGGGTTCTTCCTAAGTTGGCCAAGGGAAGAATATTGTTTCCTTCATCCCTTTGCCATCATCTGGTTGTGCCCTCGCTCTGTGACCTGCCATTTCAGCTCAGATCCAGCTGAGACCCAGTGCCAGGCCGAACTTGAAGCCAGAGTGAGGGATTGACTGCTGTCTCCCTTTTTAAATTTGGTGATCCGTGTTCCTGCTTCATTGTCTCCACCACCCCTTCTTCCCTCTGGCCTGCTTTTGCCTTCTGTCTCTTGTCACAGACTCTGGCCTCCTCAGCCCTAGCTCACCTTGTCTGACACACTCCAGGCATCTCATGCTGTGTTCCACATCGTTTGTTTTCCTCCGCAATAAATGGCCTGGACTGAATCTGTGTCACATTGTTTATGGGCTCAGGTTTAGGTGTGGGCAGCTGCAGACAGGTTAAAGAGGGTTCACTAACTGGAAATGAGCCCTACCTACTCTGGGCTTTTGTGGCTTTTTGTCCCCCCTTAAAAAGTACACATTTTACCCCACCTCTGTTCAGATAGAGTTAATACCAGAGGATTGTGACTCCTGATTTTTTTTTTTTTAAGATTTATTTATTTTTATTGGAAAGGCAGATATACAGAGAGGAGGAGAGACAGAGAGGAAAGATCAAAAGATCTGTCTGATGATTAACTCCCCAAGTGACCACAATGCCTGGAGCTGAGCTGATCCAAAGCCAGGATCTAGGAGCCTCTTCCGGCTCTCCCACACAGCCACAGGGCCCCAAAGCTCTGGGCCATCCTCAACTGCTTTCCCAGGCCACAGGCAAGGAGCTGGATGGGAAGTGGGGCTGCCAGGATTAGAACCAGTACCCATATGGGATCCTGGAGCACTCAAGGCGAGAATTTTAGTCACTAGGCCTCTGTGCCAGGCCCTTAAGTTTATCTTTAAGCATATATTTATTTTACTTGAAGAGTTAGAGAGGGGAGACAGGTCCTCCATCCATCCCCTGGTTTAGATCCCAAATGGCTGTCATGATCACAGTTGGGCTGGTCAGGTGCAAGGAGCTTCCAATATCTCATGTGGATGCAGGGGCTCAAGTACGTGAACTATCCTCTGCTTCCCAGACCGTTAGCAGGGAGCTGGATTAGAAGCAGAGCAGCCAGGACATAAACCAGCACTGGTATAGGATGCTAACAAGTGGGATTAGCTGACTAGGAATGCCACCTCACCATCCTTATAATTTTTTTTTAAGATTTATTTCTTTTTATTACAAAGATATACAGAGAGGAGGAGAGACAGAGAAGAAGATCTTCCTTCTGATGATTCACTCCGCAAGTGACTGCAATGGTCAGTGCTGCACCGATCCAAAGCCAGTAACTTCTTCCAGGTCTCCCATGTGGGTGCAGAATCCCAAGGCTTTGGGTCGTCCTCGACTGCTTTCCCAAGCCACAAGCAGGGAGCTGGATGGGAAGTGGGGCTGCCGGGATTAGAACCAGCACCCATATGGGATCCCGGCATATTCAAGGCAAGGACTTCAGCCACTAGGCCACCATGCCGGGCCCCCCTATAATAATATTAATGGCTCATGTTTGAGTAGAAGAGACCAAATTGATGTTCATTATTAGGTCATAAGTCAACTAAGTACAAAGAAGCAAACTGTAAGTCCCCAACTTGCTGTGTCTGCCTTTCCCCATTGGCATCTGACCTCAGCGTAAGAATGGCACAATGAGGAGCCCAAGGCTGCAGATTTCATCAAGGTCCTTGAAGAGGGACAGTGACCCTGGAATTCAAGAGATCAGGGCTCCACAATATCAACTGTCTTTCTACCTCGTTCCTGAGCTTGGTTGGACATTTTTGTGGCAATCCCTCCTACTTAAAAAACAAAAGCCTGGATTCCACAGCTCTGCTCTGACAGCAGTTCTGAGGATGCCAGCCAGCCTTCCACCCAGCGTGGGCTTCCAGTTCCCTCAGGCCCGATTTCATCAGCCTCTACCTTGACCAAAGGAGACAGAAATCAAGGAGTCTGCATGCCAGTTTATTTCAGAGCATGTTCTAGGAGTCTGGGGTAAAAGAGAGTCTGAGGGAGAAAAGCATCAGCCAAGTGAAAGAATCCAGAATGGGGTCTAGTGACTTGAGGGACGGCTGGCAGTTGGAACGGGCAGCTTTCCTGGTGGAGTCCAGGGGAGTCAGAAAGTTGGCTGACAGCCAGCAGGATGGTCTTGAAGAGTTTTCATGATCATTCAAATTGTCCTCTCTTTTCGGGGTTATTGCAGAAATCCTGAAAGCAGCATTGAGCAGATATCCAGAAGCCAAAAACGGGCGAAGGGCGGGTATTCGTGCAGTCGCTCAGCTGCACCTTGTTCCGGCAGTCGCTCACCATCACATCAAAACCACTGCCTGGGGAGGGACCACAAACACTGGAAATAGGGAGGTTCCTACATCAGAGCCCTCAGATCCCCATTCCCCCAGACCATGTCCTGGACCTGAAAAATAATCCTGGAATTGGATGGGGTCGTTTTCACCATCTCTGGAACTCTGGCAGAGCTTCCCAGGGAAGGTTGGAAGGAAAAGGTCATTTGAAATGGAGCAGTTGGGAGACACTAGTTGAGGCTGTGGGACGCAGTGGAGAGAGCCAGCACTGAGGGAGTGCTTTAAGAATTAAGAGCCTGGGTCCCTGCGCGATGGCACAGTGGTTAAGGTCCTCGCCCTGCATGCCTGGATCCCATATGGGCGCTGGTTCTAATCCCGGCAGCCCCATTTCCCATCCAGCTCCCTGCCTGTGGCCCAAAGAAGCAATCAAGGATGGCCCAAAGCCTTGGGGTCCTGCACCCGCGTGGGAGAGCCGGAAGAGGCTCCTGGCTTCGGATTGGCTCAGCTCCAGCCGTTGCGGCTGCCTGGGGAGTGAATCATCGGAAGGAAGATCTTCCTCTCTGTCTCTCCTCTCTGTATATCCGACTTTCCAGTAAAAATAAAATAAATCTTTAAAAAAGAATTAAGAGCCTGGCACAGTAGGGTAGTGGCTGAAGTCCTTGCCTTGAACATGCCAGGATCCCGTGGTATCGGCGCCAGTTCTAATCCCGGCAGCCCTGCTTCCCATCCAGCTCCCTGCTTGTGGCCTGGGAAAGCAGTTGAGGACAGCTCAAAGCCTTGGGACCCTGCACCCACATAAGAGGTCCAGAGGAAGATCCTGGCTCCTGGCTTTGGGTTGGCTCAGCTCCAGCCATTGTAGCTGCTTGAGGAGTGAACCATTGAGTGAAAGATCTTCCTCTCTGTTTCTCCTCCTCTCTGTATTTCTACTGTTCCAATAAAAATAAAATCTTGAAAAAAAAAAAAAAGAATGAGGGGCCAGCACAGTAGCCTAGTGGCTAAAGTCCTTGCTTTGCACACGCCACGATCCCATATGAGTACCAGTTTGTATCCTGGCAGCCCCGCTTCCCATCCAGTTCCCTGCTTGTGGCCTGGGAAAGCAGTCGAGGATGGCCCAGGGCCTTGGGACCCTGCGCCTGAGTGGGAGACCCAGAAGGAGCTCCTGGGTCGTGGCTTCAGATCAGCTTAGCTCCAGCTGATGTGGCCACTTAAGGAGTGAATCAGTGGATGGAAGATCTTTGTCACTCCTTTTCTCTGTGTATCTGCCGTTCTAATACATCTTTGAAATAAAAAAAAAAAAAGACTGGGAAATTATTTCAGGTATAGAAGTATTTATAATTTGTTTTCTAGGCAAAAAAAAATGTCTATGTGAGAGGGATCTTTGTGCACATGTCCCTAGATATCCTGTACATGGATATTTACTGCTTAAGAGTAAAAAGTTATGGATGGGCCTCTGCTGTAATGGTGAAGACACTGCCTTGGGTCCTGTGTCAGAGTCCCTCCTGCCCTGAGGATTCCAGCTTCCTATTAATGCACACCCTGGGAGGCAGCAGGTGATGGCCCCAGTGCTTGGGTCCCTGCCAACCACCGGGAAGTCCTAGGTTTGTGTTCCTAGCCCCCAACATTGGCCTGGTCCAACCCCAACAGTTGAAGATATTTGGGGAGTGAACCAACAAATGGAAAATCTCTGTTTCTCAAGTAAATATAAATACATTTAGATATTAAAGAAAAAAGCCACCTGTGGAGCCATCAGAGCTTTGGATCAGCTTTGGCACGTGGGCGAGGTTGACCCTCTGGCTGTGTCATCATCTGTCAAGTGGGAGGATGGTCTGTGCCCCCGAGAGGTGTATTTAGAAAAGAGTCTGGCACACAGCATGTATTCTGTTTCTGTTTGGAAAGCTAAAGGATGAAGTAGAAGAGCAGGGATGAAGAGGGGAATTCAATCAGTTCTCAGCAAGTTGAAAAAAGTGGGGATGGCCAGTGAGCAGTGTGATACGAGGAGAATGGTTTTGTGCAACAATCAGGTGAGGAGGACATAGTATGTGGCTGCTGCGTAAAACAAGGAAGCAGACAAATCCTCTGAATCGAGAAAGCAGCTAAGGACCAAACTTTGGTGAACATGAACCAATAAGGATGAAGGCGCCTAGAGAAGCTGTGGGGCAAGCTAAGAAAGGGCAGTGTGTCCGGGAGTCTCCGGGTCCACAAGGCTGAGTGCTGCGAGAGGTGAAGGCCAGTCAGCTGTGGGTTGCAGAGGGCAGCAAATGGAAGTAAAGATTGGACATGTCTGAATGAAAAGAAAGTCACCCACCGTGACAGAACAGGGTTATAGGAACAAGACTTGGGGTGCAGCTTCAGAGGCTCAGGGGAGAGGACTAGGCCAAGATGGGAGAAGGCAGCTTACTGTTCCTTATGTGGAGAGTAAGGCAGGCACCGCCAATCGGGCTGAGGCAGATGTCAGATCCCAGAGGACAGCCCTGTTCTTTGGTTTCCAGGAGGCATCGGTAACAGCGCAGGTATTTGGGGGCTCCTAGTTTCTGGTTGGCAGCAGTAGTACACTTACCTAGGATACAAAGACATGTTGACCCCAGGTCCCTTGCCAGCCTGATTTCAGGTTGACCGACTACATGTTCCCCACCTCAAAAAGTCATGACATCACTGGTTTCTTAAAGCCACCTGATCTACACTACCAGAGATTTTAGTCTTCATTAAAAGTCTCTAGGGGTGGGGATCAGTGCAGTTGCTCAACAAGCTAAACCTCTGTATGCAGTGCCGTCAGATCCCGTATGGGTGCCATTCTACTCCTGGCTGCTCCAGTTCCGATCCAGATCCCTATTTGTGGCCTGGAAAAAACAGCGGAGGATGGCCCGAAGCCTTGGGACCTTGTACCCACATGGGCAAGCTAGAGGAAGGCCTAGCTCCTGGCTGAAGGTCAGCTCAGCTCTGGCCATTGTGGCCATTTGGGCAGTGAACCAGTGCATGGAAGATCTTTAGCTCTGTATCTCCTCTCTGTAAATCTACTTTTCCAATTAAAAAAAAAAAATCTTTTGGCCTGGCATGGTGGCCTAGCAGCTAAAGTTCTCGCATTGAATGCGCCAGGATCCCATATGGGCACTGGTTCTAATCCCAGGAGTCCTGCTTCCCATCCAGCTCCCTGTTTGTTGCCTGAGAAAGCAGTCAAGGACAGCCCAAAGCCTTGAGACCCTGCATCCATGTGGGAGACCCAGAAGA